ACTGGGATATATGCACATAATGCCCATACACTGCCCTGCACATATACACTGAAACACACACAGACATGCACAAAAACTATAACTCATACACATACACAGATAAACACTGACTCATACACACACGCACAGAAACCACACAGATGACACATATACATATCTACAAACCAAGACATAAAAACACAGATCACAATTTACATATTTTTAGCCACAGCCCTGGTTCCATACTTTTTTTTTTTTGGACAAATTTTATTAGCATGCAACCAAGGTGCATTCCATTCTGTCTCAATATATATCAGTGTAACATAATACATCGGAAGGGTACATCCCAGTACAGAAAACATACATTAATGTACATATGTTCTTAGACATCTTAATGAGCCAATTTTTTTATCAAAAAGAACAAAGTTTTACTCAGCATCGAGCGAAACCGCGTTGTCATCGGTGCAATCCCCCCCCCTCAGGTCCCCCTCTCAACCCACCCCCCTTTCTTTTTTTTATTATTATGCTTCACTTCGAACTATCGCTTGTTGTTGAGAACATTCTCCAAGTTTGCCAGTTTGATATAATTTTCTCTCTTTGGACCTCTGGGATCATATAGGTAATTTCATGTAGTTTATTTCTGAAAATGACCATTGTAATTTCCTCTAGCGAGGGCTGGGTAGTTTTTTTCCATTTTAATGCTATAAGGGATAACATAGCTAGCATGATGTGCATTGCTACCATGTTCCCATGCCATATGATCCGGCATAAGCAGAAGAAACATGGTTTTAGGTCGTAAGGGTATCGTAATCCCTGTTACTTTAGTTATGAGAGAAGGGACCACTTCCCACATTCCCACTAGGCATTGACCATATGTGGATAATAGACCCACCTGTTCTCCGCATTCTTGTCAGAGTGTCGAACATCCGGGGAAGATGCACGCCTGTCTAGCCAGAACCATGTACCAGCTCAGGGCGACCTTCCTGTGGAGCTCAAGATGTGATGTGCAACGTGATATCCCCCTGAGTGCCGTTAAAATTTCTCTCCACCTGGGTTCTGGGATGTCACAGTCTTTCAACCATTTCCTCACATGTGAGCATAGTGTAAAGGACTCTTATTTAAAGCTTGGCAACATATTGATAGTTTTTTCCTACCAGGAAGAGCTCCCAGACACAACTTTTCACAGTATGAATAACAGGAAGCCCCCAGTCCTTGCCCCATGAAAATGGCACAGCAAATCTGCCACCCTGTGCGAATTGTCTGCCCCCTGCAGCCCCGCCACAAACCTCACTTGGTCTGAGTTTATCAACACCTGCGACAAGCGGTTTGGCAAAAATTTGGCATAAATCTTATGATATCTAGAAAGGTGGTTTTGTTTGTGTTGGATATTTAACCATTTGACAGTGTAAAATGTTAAGCTATGCAATACACAAATCATAAAAATAAATCTCAACTCAGGTCACTTCTCTGGGAGGTGACACCCTGGGAGACGATGCCAAGCATAGTTGTAAAACACATGAACAGATGCAAACATATATAAAATAAAGTATATACATAAACTGATGCCCAAAATCGTTTAAAGGGATGCAGCAACTATGTGGGGCAGTGGCAATAAGGTAAATCAATAGACCCAGAAAGGCATATTAGTGATTATAAGTAGTGATGTCCCGAACGGTTCGCCGAACGGTTCACCACGAACGGTTCGCCACGGACTCATCATTGAGTAAATTTTGACCCTGTACCTCACAGTCAGCAGACACATTCCAGCCAATCAGCAGCAAACCCTCCCTCCCAGACCTTCCCACCTCCTGGACAGCTCACTTAGAATGCAGCTTCAAAATGGATGCTGTCCATGAGGTGGGAGGGTCTGGGAGGGAGGGTCTGATGCTGATTGGCTGGAATGTGTCTGCTGACCGTGAGGAACAGGGTCAAAGTTTACTCAATGATGAGTCGAACCGTTCGGGACATCACTAATTATAAGCAATATTTCCTAGAGGTTTGAATTGAATTGGATTTTTTGTTTGTTTTTCTACCTCCTTCCTCCTTTGTAGGGTGTTGTATTCAGCTGGCAACAGCCCAGCTAGCCCTCATTATTCTCTCTTTGATGTGTAAATAGTGGATCTAAATTAGTACATCACATGGTGTAGTCGAGGTGCTTTGGCCTGCACCTCCTGTGGATTCAGTCGATGACCAGGAGCTCCAGTGCAGTTTCAGGAAGCAGTTTAGCAAAGAAGGCTGGGAAGTAGATCTCCTTGCATGTGTATGTTGTTCCTCCTGGACCTATCTTCAAGGACATTAATCTTCTCGGTACAGGCCTGTATGTTATGCTTAATTTCCTTAAAGAAAAACTCCAGTGCCAGGAAAACAATCCATTTTCCTGGCACTGCAGGTCCCCTCTCCCTCCCACCACCCATCCCCCAGTAGCTGAAGGGGTGAAAACACCTTCAGGTCACTTACCTGAGACCCCGCCGATGTCACTCGTTGGTGGTTTCTTCTCGCTGTCACTCCTCCCAGTCTTTACGTCAGTCAGTGGGCGAGACTGATCCCGCCCACCGGCCGGGAAGACCTAATGCGCATGCGCATTAGAGCTCCCCATAGGAAAGCATTGAAAATGTTTTTCAATGCTTTCCTATGGGCAATTGAGCAACGCTGGAGGTCCTCACACAGCGTGAGGATGTCCAGCGATGCTCTAGCACAGGTTTTCTGTGCTATAGAGCAGGAAGTGCCCTCTAGTGGCTGTCTAGTAGACAGCCACTAGAGGTGGAGTTAACCCTGCAAGGTAATTATTGCAGTTTATAGTTGGCACCCAGACCACTCCAATGGGCAGAAGTGGTCTGGGTGCCTGGAGTGTCCCTTTAAAGGCATTGTCCATGTTATTATGTGCCTCTGCTTGTTCCTCCATTGTATTCTCAAAGTGGGATACTCTCTCACCCAGGACTGTAACATCTGTTGTGAGGCTTGCCACCACCTCTCTGAACTGCTGCAAGAGGATATATACACAGTAAAAAAAGGGGTGTGTAAAAAACTGGCACTAATCATAAAGTGCAAAGAAGTACAACACAGTGTAGTGTTATGCAACTTGTTACCACTGTGAAACCAATCACTTCAATTCCACAATAAAACAAAGATAGATATATAGAAAAGGTGAACAGCGCAAAGAGGTGAAATAACAATTTTCCACAAATACTGTGACTACAATAAAGTATATACCCTCTTAAAGTTCCTGGATATTTCCTACAAAATTTCAGACTTGAAATCTCATAGGGCAAAACAGCTAGTACAAACAGTGAATATCAATTTAAAAACACTGTAAAATTCACACTCACATTTTCCAGAGCCTGTATGTACTACTGGCTCAGGTAAGTACGCTTTGAGTGTGATATAAAGGAGAACCTCCCACAATCTAGCAGAGTCTCTGTTGATAGGAGTGTTCACCCTCAGGATAGAATATCAGAGAGAGGCACCAATGTAAAAATTTATTACAAACCGAATATACAAATCTTACATTTAATTTGATGTGGTGCCACAGAAAGTCCACTGATAACGCACAACACGTTCCAACTCACACTAGGTCTTCCTCAGGTGCTGGTATATGTCTCACTTGTAAAGGCATCTTTATATATGAATACAAGTATATTATGTCTAAAACACTCCCCTTACCAAATATGGTCTGGATGCGCATATGCCACCTCCAATATGGCTCTGGATGGCTCTCAGGTGATAATCCACGCAAACAAGGGAGACAAAGGAGAAGAATTGTACGTCCTAAAGTCTCAACCATAGATATGACCACTGAAGAATCAGCCTCAGATAACGATACAGCAGCAGAACGAACTACTTTTTTAGGAACAACGGAATTAGGAACAGTCACTCGGTGCCACGTGAGAAGCGGAGAAGGTGCAGGACAAGAATAGGACGTAAGGGGAAAGGCAACCATACGGAACAAGCCACCACACAAGAAATAATTCCAATCTTCGATTTGTCTCATAGGTCACTCAGCAACAACGAGATAGACCTATTGAGTAAAGGATTGTCGTTTGTGCCAACAGATACTCCAAAGCAGTTTAAATGGAACATTGAATTATTCAAATTTGGAAGAAGCATGCGGCTTAAAGATCCCCAAAGAACGCCATCACCACTTGAAAGTAGAGAAAGGTTCTCACTAAAATCAGTTCAATAAGGCATCTATCAAAACCTTCTTGTCTACCACGCACAACGATACCAAGGTAGCTATGGTACATCAAAGTAAATTACAACACGTTTCCAAACAACAGGGGGAAGTTATTAGAGATTACGTGAACGACATGTCATTTACAATACACTCGTCGGACAAAGGAGGGGACATTGTAATCATGGATTACATGTATTATGCTGGATAATTGAAAGAACAATAGAAGATGTTTTAAATATCGGACTACGAGCGGGGTTATTGATCTAAATCGGTACCAATAGCTTCAAAAAAGCCATCCACGCACCCAAAATTCATAAGAACCAACATAAATCCCCTGGACGCCCAACTGTGTCAGCCATAGATGGACTGCTTGAGCCAATAGCCAAATTGCTGGACTATCTACTCCAGGTACCGGTCGCAGAACTCCATACGTGAATTAAAGACACACAATCTCTTTTAACAAGAATTGCACAGCTGGACATTAAAGAGAACAAACCGGTTCCTATTAAAATGGATGTCCGCAGTTTATATACTGTACTGTGATTTCTCATGAAGAAGGGGTGAGCGCAATGCGCCATGTGCTGACACAATGTACCTCATACATAGGCCCACCAATCAAATTTGTTTTGGAACTTTTGATGCTTACATTGCAAAATAATTATTTTTGATTTGAAGATCTATGGTACCTACAGATAGCAGGCACTTCAATGGGAGCGGCAATGGCCCCAATGTATGCAAATGCGTACATGTACGTGTATGAAGAAGAGCACATTCTGTCTAAATACAGACAACACATTCAAGGCTACTATCGGTACATAGATGATTTATAGTTTGGAATAGTACCATAGAAATGGCACAACAAATGGTAGTGCGATTAAACCAATTGGCCTCACCGATCAGAATGACCGCCAACATCAATGCAGAACAGGTCCAATTCCTAGATCTCTCCATTATAGGTAATGGTAGACTGGAATACTGTTTGTTTACCAAGCCTATGGACCGAAAAACACTACTGCATTATCAGAGTGCACATCCTAAAACACTCAAGAACTCCCTACCAAAAGCGCAGTTCCTGCGTGCTATCAGAAATAATTTGAACCCAGAAGTAATGGAACAACAACTACAGATGATGACAACCAAGTTTTTGGCAAGAGGTTTTCCGCACCAAATCTTACAAAATGTGCTTCAAAAGCAAGAAATGCATGTGCAAGTGAGAAGGCAATCAGCCCCACAAGATTAGTATTTCCTATGGTATTCCATAAATCTGCTCCATGAATTTCTTCTACAATCAAGAAGAATTGGAAAGTTATATCAAGTGATGACACACTTCCCAGAGTGTTCAAGGAACCTCCTTTAATATGTTATAAAAGAAATAGAAATTTGAAAGATCTACTAGTACATACAGACCCTGTTAGGAGCTACACCCTAAACACATCAGTCCAAAATCGAGGGTCAGTTTGCTGCTTGGGATGTGTAAAATGTGGCCATATGGTGCCAGCTCGCTTTTTTAATCATCCTCAGAACAACAAGAAATACCAAATAAGATACACTATTACGTGCAAGACTTCTTTTATTATTTATAAAATCTCATGTCCCTGTGGGTTGATGTATATAGGGAAGACAGAAATGGCACTCTGTGAACGCATTAGAGGACATCGGTCCAGTATCAGATTGGCATACAGAGATTTAACATCAGAAAAACCTGTGGCAAAACACTTTTTGGAATACAAGCACCCATGCAAGATGCTTTTACAAAAGGAGGCATATTGGATACATGAATTGGACACTGTATCCCCAAAGGGTCTTAATGAGACACTACCTCTACTTGCTTTTTTGTAACTTTATGATTTTATACTTGCATATTTTTATTTTTATTTTTTTGTATAATTATAAAGGTTCTCCAGGCTATAACACTGTGATATGGGTAACCTCTCCCATAGAATCAATAGATTTTAGCCTGTTGAGATACCTTTCAGTTACTTATGCACAGCAGAACATATCCAGTTTTCATAAATCATATGCAAAGAAAGCAGATGATGTACACAAGAAGAACTACTGAAGTCTAAATTTTTTTTTTTTTACCTTGTGTGACCTGGATTTTGTAATTAAATTGAACTGGTTGAGCATTTGTATCAATTTTAAATATCTAGTTCAGTATAAGTGTACAATATTTAAAATGTATATGAATATTTATATTTATGTTCTTGAGAGGCAATTTTCTTATGTTTCACACAGCACTTCAATTTAAAGGGCACTTTATTTGCAGCACCATAAGCACTTTTTACACTCAGCACTTTGTGATTAATGCACTTTCAATAAATCATTTAATATTTGGACTAATACAGTCCTTTCTTCCCTCTTTGTTTATTTAGTATAATACTTCATAATTAAATATTTGAACACTTTTAAAATCTTGAACGATCTACCTTTAAACCTTAACTTTGCACTGTCTGTTCTGCTTAAGACTGCTATGTCATGCACTGTCCCTTTAAATTCATCTCATCCATTCAAACTATACCCCACTATTTTAAAGTGGTCGCAATTCAATTTGATATATGTGCCCTGATGATTAATCAAGGGCTGATCATTTATATTACAGAATTTGCACGGCACTTTGTTTTCAATTCCTTAAAGTCACTGTTGACATTCGACACAGTGTGTTAGGTTGTCATGGCATTATTACTATGGTAACACTCGCAAAAAGTAGTACTCGCTACACATGCGCACATCACTTGCCGCTGTTAGGTATACACAGCACTAATGGTAACCACGGTTACTGTAAGCCCCATGTGCACGTCACTTCCGGCAGTGGAATTTTGGACACACATGCTCACAGAGTTCGGCTAGACGCCGCCGGTCATGCAAGTCACCTGGGGTGAGTCTATTTCCTTAATTGTTTTTCCATTAATTGTGTCTCCCATATATTGTGATTTTCATTTTATGTACTGTGAAATGATGAAAGTCCCATATAGGGACTGAAACGTTGATCCCATGTTTTAATCTTGCTAAATAAAGAAGAATGTTATTGGAGACCGTGAGTGCTGCCATTTCTACTACTATTTTTATATATATATATATATATATATATATATATATATATATATATATATATATATATAATGAAAGTTTCAAACTGTAAATAACATTTAACATTTACATATGTAAAATGTGTTTCACAGCTACCAATCTAGCCAGGTTCTAAATATCAATGGCATGCAAATTAATAAAGCTAATTAAAAAATATTGATGAATTGTGTGTAATATGTACATCATTTTGTTCACTGCAGGATTTACAGAGCCCCAGGAAGGGTTTTGAATATGCATGAAAACTGGTAACATTGTGTTTATTGTGTGTTTATTATGCATGTATATTCATGACATCAAATGATGCTAACATATGTTTTCACTGCAACTAATGTTTTATTTATTTATTTATTTATTTATTTATAATGATGTTACTGGCTTTTCTTTTGATACAAGCTTTCATATAAACTAACATTTTATAAGTATTCTCAGACTGTATAAAAAGAACAGAGGTTTATTTGTTAATCCTTGAATGTATTTTATTTAATAATATGTGCAGCTGTTTCGAATATTTCAAAACTCATAATTATGTGGATTTCAATAATTAAAAAATAAGATGACATAATACAAGTCTATAAAAAGAAATATATTATTGCTCTTAACCCCCTAAGAAACAATTACAAAGTAATTCCATGTCCAGTCTTTTGTATTAACCACTGTCAAAAGCACTGGCCAAAGTTACCGTTACCATATTTTATTTTATTTTTCATTTTTCATACAAAAACTGCACTTTCACTGATAATAAAATTGTCATGTTATTTTTAATGTTTTTAATGTTTTAAAACACTCATACTTGTGTTCAGCAAAGTCTCCCAAGTACAATAGTAACACCAATGTAAAGGTTTTATGGTATTTTGGAAAGTTACAGAGTCAATATAGATATGCCCATTTCAGTTTGCCAGATTGGTTGTCAGATTTCTTTGCAGGGTCTTTGAGACCATAAGGCAGCCCAGCAGTATGAATTACACCCACTATGGCATACCATTTGCAAAAGTAGACAACCCAGTGTATTCATAATGGGTTAATATATATAAAAACTTTTGATGAAATTCTCAGAGTTATTAAGTAGCATGGCAATTGTAAGGAATTCAAAGTTAATTCAATATAAATATCAAATTTAAAAGTAATAAAAAAAAAAAATATTTTCCAAGTAAGCTATACTTTGGCTTTAAATTAAAAAGTCAATTTGAATTCAGTGTGAATTCTTGACAATTCTCACTTCAGTGAATAATCATGTCTATAGCAAAATAGAAAATCCTGTCCAGGATCTACCTGTGGAATCTCATTAATTGAATAAAACTCCACAGGTAATCCTGTATGATCAATTTGTCAGGGGATACATTAAAAGAAATTTGATTTGTTCATACCAGCTGAAAAGCATCAATGCAAAAGTCTAGCATTTATTTATTTAAATCCCCGAGTGTGATGTGATGGAAATACATTTAACTGGCCCTTAATGGGTTAATATCAACTTTAAAGGCTTAAAGGGATACTCTGTGCACAGAAACAACTTTAGCTTAATGAAGTTGTTTTGATGTATAGATCATGCCTTTGCAGTATCACTGCTCAATTCTCAGACGAGTATTCCCCCTACAGTCTCAGTGCTCAAGTCACTGCAGGAGGAGCTTACTTTCCCATGAGGGCAGCCTTTCAAGTTGCTGATACAAGTCCTTGCTCCACAATATGTACTTCATTTGTCTTATATTTTCAGCAGGAAAATAGTGACATTATTTTAGCATTCTTGCATGCTATTATTGAAGAGCAGTTAGCTAAGGCTGTCAGATTTATGAAGTACACCTAGTGATCTTCCTTTGATGGCACACTGGTGGCATCCCATGATATCTGGACATGTTGGTGTCAGTGAAGCAGGTCCAACTTTAGCAGCTTGTCAGGATGGAAGTTGACCTATAGTGCAGCAGGCCTATCTCTCCTGCTACATGCTGAAGTGATAGATGAAAAGCACACTACAGTAAACATATTGTAGGCAATCAGACAAATGGTATGAAATTGATTGGGGTAGCAGGCAGTCACCAATCTGCATACTTGGTTCATGTTCATTGATGTCGCTACTAACATGGATCTGTCTTTTCATTACTCCATTAGCATTGACTCCCCACAGGGCATGATGACTGGCAGTTTGGTTAGAGAAAGTGAATCAGCAAGCAACAAAAATGAATGCAATGTCTGAAATTGTCTGAAATTGTACAGCTTACAATTTTAAATGTGATTTGCCTCTTACTGTTGACCCTCTGAGCTGTTGGAACGAGAAGAAGAGTGTGTGGCCTGCTCCATGTAAGGTTGCCCAGCAATTTTGTTTTCTGTTGCTGGGAACATTCTGAAGCTCCCTAACTTATGGGGAAAATAGCCTTCCTCAGTTTAAACCTCCCCAACGTGGGTGACACCGCTCTTCACTTTGATACTTAAGGCATTATCATTTGCTAGCAAATAGAGATAGAAGTGGCGCTTTAGGATGAAAATAGGTGACTGGTGCTGCTATACCCAAGTATATCACCACTATGTATACTTAGAAAAGATACAATAAAACACGAAAAAGGTAACAGCGCACACACACACCAGTGAGGTGGTTTACCTGACAAATAAATAGTAGGTATCTCCTCCTTATATACAATTGGTGTATTGAATATTGAATTGCACTTTAATGAGCCATTTAAAGTAGGCTCGGAACTTATATGGCTTTTATGTCACTTCAATGGGACATACGCATTTTCTTTACTCATCAGGCAGGTTCTCCTTTGGTCTTAATGGTCTTCTATAATGGAGCAGGAATCAGAAGCCAGGAACCAGGAGTATCAGAGTAAAATATTTATTTATAATAAAATAAAAAATGATGAGAAATATTGCACAACGCGTTTCAACCATCTACCAGTGGTCTTCCTCAGGTGCTGTTCAAAGCTCAAATGAATGTACTATTGTTTATATAGGGAATAGTGTTACAAACTTAATTGCATAATCCCTTGCACATAAAAAACTAATTACAATGATATTACCTTATATGGTCCGGACCGGATGTGTTCTGCCACCTCCAATATGGCTCCACATCCGGTTCGGAGACACAGGTAACCAAAGGAATACATATACAAATATAAAATAATAAAATATAATAAAATCAATCCTCCCCACCATAATCTACCCACA